ATGCCGAACGGATAAGGGCAATTCATGTCAATAATCCAGAAGCAGGCCTAGACATGTTATGGACAAGACTCGAAAGAACTTAGGGTTCAACAGAAGCAATCGAAGATGCTCTCTTCAAACGCATTGACGCCTTTCCAAAGATAGGGAACAGGGAATATGCTATGTTAACGAAGTTAAGTGATCTTCTCATGAACTACTCTCAGCTAAGGATGAAGGAGTCTTACCTGGTCTGTCCTTCCTTGACACAGTTAGAGGAGTTAACCCAGTAGATTCCCTTTCGCCTGGAAGAGAAGTGGGCTTCAGTTGGTGCGTCGTATAAGCGACGAGAGAATGTGCATTATCCACCCTTCAGTTTATTTGTAGATTTTGTTCATCAAGAAGCAAACATTGCCAACAATCCAAGCTTCAGCTTTATCACTCAGACAGTGTACCCAAGGCTGAAAAATCAACATGGCAGACAAGAAAGAATCAGAAAATCTCAGCTTACAAAACGGAGATAAAAACCAAGAGGGATCCTGACTTGACTGAGTCTCCGATGAAAACAGTGGACGCTGACAAAATGTGTCCTATTCATGGGAAACCACACCCTTTGCACAAATGTCGTGCGTTTAGAGAACGACCCATGGAAGACCGCAAAACATTCTTGAAAGAAAACAATCTTTGCTTCAAATGTTGTTCATCAACGCACGTTGCCAAAAACTGCAGGGTCCAGTTTCAGTGTTTTGAGTGCAAAAGTGAGCAACATTGCACGGCCCTACATCCAGAGCCCATAGCATGTACAGAAGTGGAGGTCCCTGCTCCAGAGCATGGCTGGGAGAAAGTCAAAACCTTGCCTGAATCCTACATCACAACCAAATGCACCAACGTCTGCGGTATCCTGTTTAAAAATTTGCCTTGTGAAGATGTATCCAGCTGGTCACAGAGAGAGGGCGGTGAAAGTCTATGCAATTTTAGATGAGCAGAGCAATAGGTCGCTGGCCCGCTCGCAGTTCTTTGACGTGTTTGCTGACAAAAGTCCCAAGTGTCCCATACACACTGAAAACGTGTGCGGGAGTAAAAGAAGTGACAGGAAGGCGGACAAAAGGATATTAATTAGAATCCCTGGATGGAACACTCAGAATTCCACTAACCCAGCCTTACAGAATGTAATGACATTCCGAACAATAGAGACGAAATTCCAACTCCAAGTGTCGCTCTTCATCATGCACATTTAAAGTCAATAGCTCATCTCATTCCAGAAATGAATCCAAATGCCCAAATCATGCTTCTCTTGGGTCGGGACGTCATCAGAGTACACAAGGTATGCAAACAAGTTAATGGCTCACAAGACCAGCCCTATGCACAGAAGCTTGGTGTTGAGTGGGTTGTTGTAGGGAATGGGTGCCACGGCAGCATCCACAAATTATTCCACAGATTAACACCTATTACAGATACACTCCTTTGCTTGATATTTGTTCTTGTTTTGGATTTTTTGTTTAGAGTAGTGTAGCTCCAAAGTAACAAAACCAGGGCACGGTTTCCAAATGACGGGTGTTTAATAGTGTCTTTGGGGTTGTCTTGGTACCCCAACACCGTGAAAACTGTTGGCAAAATAAAATGCTTTCAACAATATACAATAGAGAAATAATATACAAGGCTCATACAAAATGTGGGCTAACGCTAACCTCATTGCCGCCTGCCACTTCGGAGGTCTTGGGCAACAAAAAATACACTTTTGATATCTACAGGACAAAATATAACGATTACAATCGTGTCTTACATTTAATTACATACACAACCAAATAAATCACAAATACCTTGAACAGATAGCGAACAGTCCTAATTGCTGCTGCTCTTCCTATGTCTTGCGTTCGAGTGTCTGTCCGTGACAGGGCAGGAATCACCTTACCACAGCGCAAGTCTCGCGATAATAGCGATAATATCGATAACATTGAAATAACGAAACTTAATTTATGCACAAAATACATATTTCACAACGCGAATACACAATGTACATAAAACAAACAAAAAATGTCCTCTTTGCCCTTAAAGTAGAAACAAAATATTATTAGTTTCCAACTTAACTATTCTGATGACACTTACAGGGAACATGCTTTTTTATTCTTATTTTTTTACTGTCCTAGAATAAAATGCAGTTTCACCTCCACTACATTAGGTGGCAGTGACGCTCACATTGGCAGAGTTTGCGCAGGGAGCATTCGAAGGGAGGAAATATGACGAGGCATATGTAGCGCTTGGCTTCACTGTGACTACGGCGGCAGACGCGGAAAGATCGGTGCGCTGACGAGTCATGTGATTTTCGGCTCTTTTTGGTGATCCGGTTCATTTGGATCGGCTCAGTGAAAAGAGCCGTCTGTTTTTGGCTCTCAAATGGCTCTTTTAACTTTAGCTTTTCCTTTAAATATTTATGACAAATTTAGTATACATGTTGATAAATGGCTTGGTGAACTGGGTGGCTCTGGGTGACAGAGCCGGGAGGGTGCCGGACGAGTCATGTGATTTTCGGCTCTTTTTGGTGATCCGGTTCATTTGGATCGGCTCAGTGAAAAGAGCCGTCTGTTTTTGGCTCTCAAATGGCTCTTTTAACTTTAGCTTTTCCTTTAAATATTTATGACAAATTTAGTATACATGTTGATAAATGGCTTGGTGAACTGGGTGGCTCTGGGTGACAGAGCCGGGAGGGTGCCGGCTCTCATTGTTCAGTTCAAAGAGCCGGCTCTTTTTACCGGCTCGTTTGCGACCGACACATCACTCGTGCTTACTGTGCCTAAAAATGTTGGTAGTTGGCAGCATGAAGCCAAATAAATTAAGGTGTCACTTAAAGACATTACACCCCAATTACGCTGATAAGCCGCTTGAGTTTTTTCAGCGAAAACGTGACGAATATTGCCAACAATCATGCCGCTTTGTGACTGCTACTTCAGTCAACTAAAATACTGTACAGGTCCCAGCTACACATTGAGCAGGAGCCGAGAGTTGCTGTGTTCTGCTTCAAACCTCGCTTCGAAAAGCTGCATTGCAAAACGCGCTCATTGTAGCCATTAATCCAGACATCATCTTTGATTGAAAAAAATCAGCACACATTATTTTATATTTTTTTGTTTTTCAGGTTAAAGTTTTTTTTTTGCAGGTTAAAGTTTTTTTTATATTGTGCTTGAGTTAATGTTGGTGATCGATTTGAATGCATTATTATTTATTGATTTTATGTAATTGTATTCTTAATTTTTTCTGTTACAGTTAATAAAGCTATTCTTTGTTGTAAGTTGTCCATATTTCGTTCTTTTTTATGAGGTATATAGGTTAATAAGAATGCAGTGTTATGCAGAGGTGTACTTATAACAATTTTATAGACAAATGATACTATTTATCGTCACGCGGGTGGGGGAGGGGGGTGCGAGATGTTTTCTTCTTCCTCGGGAGGGCATGAGAGAAAATAATTGCATACCTGTCAACTTGTATGTTTTCCCCGTATTTTATACATTTTTTTTATCATTTCAAATCATGTACGCGTATGACAACTTTTATACGGAAAAAAAATTAAAAAAAACTAATTGTGAACCGATCTCACAAAGACCATTTTGGCTCAAATCCAGATCGTCTCACCTGCTGGTAGCCAACAACAATGCCGTCATCGATCGCTACTATTGTCACGGCAAACCAGTCAAAGTAATCTTCAATCGTATGTTTTTTTTCATCGCTGCGTACGGTAGGATTGATAAAGCATGATGTGCGCATGCGAGGTAAGCCGTCTGCATTTACGCTTGTGTTTGCTTGTGTTGCAATCGAAGAAACATCTAGTAAAAATCGCGGAAGCAAGCATGGAGCAGCCGCCTAGTAAGAAACAAAAAAACTCAAGGATCACGTCGTCATCAAAAAGAATGGAAATCACTTCAAGGTGAATATGATGGGTGGATTAAATCGTCATTAAAAGGTCCTCAATTTTCATACTGTATAGCTTGCAAGAAAGACGTGAAAGTTGCTGCGAGTGGATTTTATGATTTGAAGAGCCATTTTAAAACTGCCGCACACGTGGAGAATGTAAAGAAAAGTAATTCACACGTCCCATTGACCAAGCATTTCGTCTCTCCTGCCAGTCCAGCGTCATCCCACAAAGCTACAAATGCGGGCCACTTCTCTGACTTGGTGAAAGTTATGTTCCCGGATTCACAGACAGTTCAGGTAACTTTGTTTATTGTTATTTTTATTACTCACCTGTCTTTGATGAATAATGTATTGGCAATTATGGCACCATGTCAAACATAATTGCAATGAAAAAGCCTTCGTTTCCTATTTAATTTTAATATTTCCTGCTTATTTTGAGTTCCTGACAAACTGCTGTTAATTTGATTAGAATAATATTTATAATTACCAATTTTAGTGCTACATGTGAATTTTTTTTTTCAGAAATAATAATTTACGACTTTGAAAATGTTTATAATGTGAGTAAACTTTGTCTTATTTTTTATTTTAATATTATGGTCTGTATTTTTGCAGGAGTTTGCCTGTCGGAGGACCAAGGCAACGATGATTGTATAAAGGAGAGCCTTGCACATGGCTACACACAAGATGCCATCGAACACTGCAGAACCCACCCGTTTACCCTCACGATCGATGACAGTAACGATCGTACCACCAAAAAGTGACTCGTTGTGTTGTCGAAAACCCGACTCCTCGATTTACCATAGTTGCCATCAGGCACAGCATCATCCATCTTTGCTGTTATTGATGAAATTTTTCAAGAAAAGGACATTCCTTGGAAAAATGTTGTGGGCTTTGCAAGCGATAATTGCAATACCATTGTTTGAAAGAAAAACTCGGTTCTGTCAAGGATAAAAGACAAAAACGAGGCTGTGTTCAGCATTGGTTGTATTTGTCACCTCGGCAATCTCTGCGTAAAAAACAGACTGACGACATTGCCAGTAAATATGGACGACCTACAGGTGGATATTTTTTATTTTCTTAAGAACAGTTCAAAACGAATTGAGGATTTTAAAGAGTTTCAGGACTTCACAAATTTGGAGCAAGAAAAAATCCTCAAGCACTGTCCAACTCAATGGTTATCTCTACAAAAAGTTGTTGACAGAACTATATCGCAATATGAAGCTCTCAAAAGCTACTTCGCTAGTCATGCAGATGTTGAAAGAGCAGGAAAAGTAAAATCCATACATGATCGACTGCAAGGCCCTGTCACTCTCCTCATACTCCACTTCCTCAGCTTCATCCTACCCCAGATAAATCATTGTAATGTTGTTTTCCAAACAGAGGAATGCATGATTGGTGACCTTCTGCCAGAAATGGAAGGACTTCTAAAGAAGCTGTTGGTTAAATTTGTTCAAATGGAACATGTCAAAACATGCGGATACCTTATTAGCTGTTGACTTCAAAAACAGAAGCCTATAGCATGATGATGGCAGACTTGCTGTTGGATTGACAACCAGGGCTCTCTTCCAAGACAATGATGAGGAGGATGAAAGCAAGCCAAGCATCACACCAGCCATGCAGACAACATTTTTTTTTCAGCTCTGCGGTCATTCTATGAAGCCGTAGTGACCAAAATGATTAACACGTTCCCATTTGACAAGTGTTCTGAGTGATTGGATTGGATAAGCTTTATTGACAAATGTACTGTATGTGTAACATACAGCACAGATAAAATTTATTCCCTCTCAACATAAAACAAGACTTGGTGGTATTGCACTCGAGAAAGCGAGATGTGCTAGACTGTCCTCATATTCTTCGGTTAAGTGATAGGTTTACTCCAGACTTTGACCAGGAAGATATCAAGGATGAATGGGAAGATTACCAGCTAATACCTGATAATCTTCTCCCACAGAAAAGCCAGGATGGAAGACCGATTCATCCCGAGACATTTTGGCCTGAAATATTCAAAATGAAGAATGGATTTGGACAAGATCAATATCCACTCATGAAAAAGATTTATAAAGTTCTGCTCAGCCTTCCTCATAGCAATGCTGATAGCGAGAAAGTTTTCAGCCATGTGAGGAAAATCCATACGGAATATAGGAAGACCATGGGACCGGATACTCTCACTTCATTATTGCAAATGAAATTGAATTGTGACAATCGCTGCTCACAAGTGAAACCCTCCTTAGAGCAGATAAAGTCTGCCAAATCATGCACGTCAGCGTACAATAAGCAGCACTGAGGGCACGGTGTGTTTTTGTGCATTCGAAAAAAGAACTGAAAGAAGTATTTGAATTGATATACAGTATTGCATTGTAAACTTTGTAATTTGAATAGGAAATAATGAATAATGAAATTATCCTTGTTATTTATATTACACTGTCTGGTTTCCGCGAGTAAATGTTAGTGTGCACTGCGCGGTGCATGTTGTAAGGGTTTCTGTTGCTTTTTAAGGGAAATCGTAATCATTAGCCGAGGTTGACAGGTATGTAATTGAGAAGCACTGGGTTGCAGTGAGATTGAAAACAGCAAACTCTATTTAGAGTCAAGGGCTCCAAAAAAAGTTTACAATGCAATGCATCAATTCAAATACTTCTTTCAGTTCTTTTTTCCAATGCACAAAAACACACCGTGCCCTCAGTGCTGCTTATTGTACGCTGATGTGCATGATTTGGCAGACTTTATATGAATCAAGAATTCTGAAACTCAAAAGTATAATGTTTCAAGGGTAAATGTTTGAAAACTATGCATTAACAATGAACATTACATCGGCAGCTGTGTACTCCAGGTTTGTTCAAAAAAATAAATGGATCAAAATATGTTGTACTCATATGGCATCATGAATACAACATACCACAAAATCAGAGTGTTTTTTCCAATCTCACACTACAAAGATTAATTGACTGGTAATCATTAACACAGGTAAGTATTGATGTGGCTTGACATCCTCTTCCCAAGATGATGCATGTGTAATCTACTATCAATTTGACGAAAGAATCTACCACACATCATCATAAGTTATACCAACAGTTAACATTAGCATTACTACCCCTTGTGACGGATGTTTTATTCCTGAAGTTACCATGCTACAACCAGTAAATTATAGAATAACCAATACTGTTTCATAATATTTTTTACAGCGATTAGCCTATA